AACAACAATGTAGGGATGAGCACGAAATACTGTAAATTAAATGCTGAATGGCGGTTCATGCATTGAAAGAACATATCAATATTCGCATATTCATTCAAAAACATGAAAATTCTTAATGGAGTACCCTCATTTTTTATTGAATTCCTAAAAAACAATATTTATAATGAATTTTAATAATTTTTTCGAATTTTTTTTAAGCTTTATTCTGACCGATTCACCCGATTCTCGATCCGGATAGTCGATTCGTCGATCCGAATCGATTTTTTAGAAGCCCGATCTGAGTCACCGATCCTTTTTTTAAACCATTGGTTTAGAGCATTGGCCTTGTACAAACCACACCCTCAAATTATTAACCATCTGAAACAATTTGTCTCAATAGAGGCAGGGCACTTAATGCGCTGCTTGTTCGGTCAAAAATTTAAACTAAAAGGAGGCACAAGAGGAAAATAAAATTTAATGGGACTTAAATAACAATAATGATGTTAATAACAATAAGCGAGGACAAAGCCATCAGGAACTTAGTCATTGTTTTTCCACTATATGAACTGCCTTGATATTAAATAAATAAGTTTAAAATCTGTTTTTGCCTTTTCTCTTGTTTAACAACCTAATATGTTTGATATACTACGTTAAAATTGTGTAGCTTTTTGGCTTTCTACTTCTTTTCCAATGTCTACATCATGATAAGTGACATTGTTTTTTATGGATTGGGGGGTGAACGATAGTATCTGAGCAATGGGAGGTTCAAGAACGCCGACCACCAAGCTGTGGTGAACTCTGATTGTAGCCGCCTCTCAATCGCCACCTTCCAAAACCCGGCCCCTGACGCCATTGTATACCCACTCAAGTTAGCGGGGGGTGAGAAATCGATCCTCGACGAGCCCATCACCTTCCCGGAGATGTATCGTCGCAAGATGAGCCGTGACCTACAGCTCGCGAGGCTCAAGAAGATTGCTCAGGAGCAGAAACTTCATAAAGAGCTCAAGGAAGAGATCACCCAGCCTCAAAAGCTGGATGAGATTCTGGCTTAAAGCATGGTTGGACTTCCCCTTTCCTTTTCATATCTTACCATGTTGTACGTGCTTGATGCATATATGCCCAACTGTATCAATGTCTCTCTCCCTAATGTGTGCTCTCTCTTTTAGTGATTATGCGCATTCCTTCTCTCTAAAAGATTCATATGTGGCGGTTTAACTAAACCGTTATAGTGCTTGATGAAATGAGGTGTACAATGTGATGGGCCATGTGGCCCTTCGTAGACCATATGTAATGGCGGTTGATTGAGTCTATAAATAGTAATGCTTTATTGTGATGTAATGTGGGTAATGAGATAGAAGGGGTGAGTTAGGTGTAAGTGAAAGATTGTGGTTGCTTTATTGTACTACAGCCTTGTGTTTTATTCTAAAGCAATAGTGAAAGTGGCGATTGATCCAATCTAAACTTTCTATACATTTTTTGAGTTGAAACATTTTTATTTTATATTTTGAATTTTTTTTTATTGCAATAAATTTCTATCAAATTGATATCAGAGTAAGGTATGAAAAAAATGGCATCCTCAAGTATGATGTTCCAACCACCAGTTTCCCGTCTTAAAAAAAAACAATTTATGAAAATTGGTGCATTCAGATGAAAGTATTACTCGGATCACATGATGTATGGGAAATTGTTGTAAAAGGATACAATGAACCTCGAACCCCAAAAGAGGAAGAAGAAATGCCAAACAACCAGAAAGTCGTCCTAAAAGAATCAATGAGACTAGACAAGAGAGCTCTGTTTTTAATGTATTAGAGCATTGACGAAAGCATATCTGGAAAGGTTGCTTCCACCATCTCTGCAAAACAAGCAAGGGAGATCTTACAAAATGTTTTATGAGGAGAAGAAAAAGTGAAGAAAGTTCTTTTGCAAACATTAAGAGCCGAGTTCGAGATGCCTCACATGAAAGAGAAAATTATACTCATATTACTTTTCAATAGTGTTAGCAGTAGTAAACCAACTCAAGAGAAATGGTGAGGTGTTAGATGAGGTGCGTATCATGGAGAAAATATTAAGATCTCTAATCCATAAATTTGAACACATAGTTGTAGCAATAGAAAAAAGTAAAGACTTGTCGACTATGACTACTGATCAACTCGTGGGTTCCTTGCAAGCCCATGAACAAAGAATGATGAAGAAATCAAATACCCCTTTGAAACAAGTGCTCAAAACTAATCTCTCCCTAAAAGATAACAGATGATGATTTAGAGGTAAATGTAAAACAGAACGTGAGACATTTAATAGAAGTGGACAATGCTATGATAATTTCAATTTCAATACTAAAAAAGGAAACAAGCAGATGTTGCAATCCTCAAGAGGTCGAGGTGGTAGAAACTTTACTCAACCATTCAATCGTCAAAGATAAGATAGATATTCGATATAATGCTTTAATTGCAAAAAATTTGGCCATTACAGTTCTGAATGCAGATTTAAGAACTCCCAATAAAATGGAAAACAAGTGAACTTTGTAGAAAAATCCAAAGTGGATCAAGAACCAATCCTCCTGTTGGTATGTAAAGAAGAAGAGAGTGAAAGTAGCAACTCATGGTTTCTTGACAGTGGCACAAGCAACCACATATGCAGAAGAAAAGAAATGTTCGTGGAGTTGGATGAATTAGTGTATGGTAATATAACATTTGGTGATTTCTCAAAAGTGCCGGTCCAAGGGAAAGCTAAAATTTTAATTCGATTCAAGACTGGAAAGCGTGGATTTATTTCCAATGTCTATTATGTGCCAAGCATGAAAAATAATATTCTTAGTCTGGGGCAACTTTTAAAAAAAGGGTATGATATTCGTTTAAAGGATTTCACCCTTACCATAAAAGATAAAAAGGAAAACTTGATTGTTAGAGTTGGCATGTCAAAAAACAGGACATTTTCTTTAGATATCAAAATTGATTTTTTGCAATGCGTAAATGTATCTTTAAAAGAAAAGCCATGGTTATGGCACTTGAGGTTTGGTTACCTCAATTTTAATGGCTTGAAATTGTTGTATAATCGAAATATGGTGAAAAGGCTATGAAGGATGTATGCTCGGGAAGCATCACCATGAAAGCTTCCCAAGTGGTGTTTCATATAGAGCATCAAACCCCCTTGAACTTATCGATATGGATGTATGTGGGCCACTTAGCACAATTTTTTATGGGCAACATAAGTATTTCATTACCTTCATTGATGATTTCGGTCGGAAGACTTGGGTTTATTTTTTGAAAGAAAAATCAGAAGTCTTTGGGATCTTCAAAAATTTCAAGGCGTTAAGATTAGATAGGGGTGGTGAATATTTTTCAAATGCATTTGATGAGTTTTGCAAGTATCATGGTATTTTTCATCAATTTACTGCACCATATTCACCCCAACAAAATGGAGTGACTGAAAGAAAAAACCGGACAATTATGGAAATGGCACGAAGCATGTTCAAATGCAAAAACATGCTAAAAGAATTTTGGGCTGAGGCAGTCTCTTGTGCTGTCTATATTCTGAATAGAGGCAATAAGTAAGAACCGATTTATTTATTTATTTATTATTATATTTAGTTTAATTTACTATAATTGAATCATCGTAAGTGTTCTAATCGGTGAGAAAAAAAATTTAAAAATTTATACACTGTGCTAGATCACCTTTATCCAACTTTTAGTGACCCCTTTTCTTTCTTAAAGTTTTTTATCTCCTTATCTTGTTATTCTCAAAATCCCAAGTTGCTGATATCTAGATCCATAGAATGAATAAGAGAGAAGGTAGGTAAAGAGAAAGTAGAATGAATGAGAGAGAAGGTAGGTAAAGAGAAAGTGAGAAAGAGGGCAGGTAGAGAGAAACAGAAAGAGAGAGTGAGAGAGAGGGTGGGTAGAGAGAGACAAAAAGAGAGAGTGAGAGAGAGGGCAGGTAAAGAGAGAGGGTAGATAGAGAGAGAGGGGGTAGAGAGAGAAAGTAAGGGTATTCTAGAGGGAGAGAGAGGGTATGAAAGCGGTATTATAGTAGTTTTATTGTTTTTTTTACTTGGGAGCGGTAAATAAATAAAAAAAAGTGTTGAGGTCTAACGTGTGATACTAAAAATTATTGAGGATAAGATGCCTACAAAATTTATTTTGGGATATCTATATTTTTCTCTAAAAATTAAGCTAGAAAGCAAACTTGTTATTAAGTGGGAGCATGAACTCCAAAAAGCGACACACTTTGTAATATCCTTATTTTCTTCTTGTTTGATCTCTAAATACCCAAATCTTTGAAACTGTGGAAAAGATACAAAACAAATTTATGTGAAGCTTCAGAGTGGGGATTACGAAGTTTTTGGGATCTAATTTGGCGGTCATTGGACAGGTGTGGCCTTACATTTTTGTAGTTTTTAAACATTAACAAATTGCAGGGGTGGAATGGACACGGAACCAACCCGCGACCTGCCCCCCGTTGGGTATATTTAAACGGGTCGGGGTATGGGTCCAACATTTGGATCCGGTGGGTCGGATCCAGGTCCAAAATCTGGACCCGAATATTGTTTGGGTCCGGGTCAAGGGTTCGGTTGGACAGGACTCATACTCGTAAACTGCTAGAGATAAAATATTTCAAGCCTTATTCGTTTGGATGTATTAAAGATTGTATACAATAAGAATTCATAATCATCTTTAGCTATTAAACGACAAATATGACCTTGTTGCCAATACTTTGAGTATGGGTCCAACTTTTAAACCCGATTGGTCTCGAGTCTAAAACCTGGACTTAAATATATTTGGGTCTGGATCTAGGTCTAGCAGGACCCAACCCATATCCGACCGGTTGCCACCCTACGACGATTAATGAAAAAGAATTAGGTGTTAAGAAAAAGTGTATATTGTCAACAAGGTGAGGAAACTAAAACTAAGATGCCCTGCAGCCAATATCTAACAAAACAACAGCGTTTTACAATGAAAGAATATACAAAGAAGAAATCGGCAAGAGGACCACAACGAGGGGTCGAGCTCTCCTCTACGCACCACCATGACAAAAAGAAAGGGCTTGCTTTCTCTCACCATAACTTTTTCATTAGGAAAGGGCTGGGGTTGTGGTAGCACCTCATACCGTAGTCGCACATCGTGTTCTCTAACCATTTAGAAAGTGTGTTGGGCCCTTTATTCCCCACATAATTTACGCAATTTTTTATTTTTTATTTTTTTAATTTTATTCACCAAAGCAAAACGACAACCTTTTATTTACCTCTCTCAAAACCCCAAAAATGATTCCACCTATTACCTCAAATAAAGGGAAATGCTTATATAGAGCCTAAGCTCTAAACAATCAAAATAAAGCGTACCTAAAAAATTTTACTAGAAGAGGTTATTTTGATGCTTAAATATCCTCAAAGTGAACATCTCAACATTAAGATATATGGACTTGAGAAAAGAATTTCAAGTTTTGAAAATAGTGTATCTTGTATGGAATTTTTGGACTGTCAATTTTTAACGAGTTCAAGTTTTCATGGATCTCCTCAATCTACAATAATGTTTAATATTTAAATTTTATAATTAAAGATGAAAATAAGTTTTAAGGTAGTCAAATATTTTCAGTATTAAAACCACATTTCTCGACACTACTTAAAAGTGGGTTCTAATTTGATTGTTTAGAACCTCTGTCTATACAAACCGCATCCTTAATTAAATCACCAAAGACCCAGGCTTCCTCCTACCTTAAGGCCACACCGTGGAAATGCAATAGTCGATTGGCTAATCACCGTCCACTAACAGGAATAAAGGCCCCCAGTAACCCAAGAGATTTTTAATTTTGTTCAATGCTTGCCGAAAGCCTGTAACCCTCCTTGAGCCGTAATTAGGCTCTCCCAGGTAGCTAAGTGGGTAGATTCCCCTCTTTTTTTTTTGGTTTACTTTTGAATATTAGAGTAAGTTTTAATTAATAAAAGGAAAAGTATCAAATAACACAAGAGAAACCAGAGTTAGAAGTCCACCTATTACCTTAAACTAAGTTAAAAAGTCTCATGGGTTTTATTTTTGCAAGAAACTAAGTTATGGAACCCCAATGTCTCTTGGGTTCGGGAGATTTGGGGCTCAGGTGTAGTGGTCTTTTGTGGGAATGATGCTTCAGACCAATCGGGTGCCCTCTGGGTGTTATGGGACCCTCTTTTGCTACAGAATTGTTCTTATCCATCGCATTAATTTCTTATTAGCTGGTTTTCATGGTCCTACTTCTGGTTCTTCCTAGGGATTGATAAATATATATGGATCCTTTGATTTTATTGCTAAGGAGGCTTTTGTTAATGATATGATGATGTGATTCGAAATTTTGGATTTCCAGTTTATGTTGGTGGTGACTTCAATTTCATAAGATGACCTGATGAATGTTTAGCTGGCACGCCCATCAACTCTTCCATGAGCGTTTTTAACAATTTTATTGAGATAAACTCTCTGTTGGATTTACCAATAGCTGGCA